GCTGTACTACAGACAGTAGCTGCTTTTATCCAAAGATGATGGAAGTTTTTAGTCATGTTGTAGGGGTGGTTGACACATGTGCTTTGTTTGGCACTTATATTTAGATCAATTTTTGATTTTGTTTGGGGTTGTTTTTTATTTTTTTAATTTCTTTGATTTTTTGCAGGTGTGGATTTTTGAGGCTGATGAGCTCTGTATGGGAGAGTGTTTAAACTCATTCTTTATAATCTAATTGAATGGTTCCATGGCTAGTTTGTAGGCTTAGAGGCGTGTTCGTGGAACCCTTGGAGGGGAGTCTTCTACAAACTACTTGACCCAGTCCTCCTTTAATAGGCAGTGAAACACAAATGGCTATTAGGGGCTTTTCTCTCCAATATACTGTAGTTTCTGTGTTTCACAACAAAAACAAATGGACAGTACAGGAAAGTAGGATCTTTAGAAGAACTTGGACCACTCAGCATCTGTCTTCTGAAAAAGGCAGGTACAGTGGGTTGCATATTCTGTAGGTAATGTTTTAAATAAATATGTATTGACAAAGATTCTGTGAAACCCTCATATCTGGCTTTTGAGGTCATTATGTCTGGAACATGTTGCTGGTCCTTTTGGTTTTTAAAAATGTTGGTTTGGGAGATAGAAGGCTTGAAAGAAATGAGGTAGCTGAGAGAATTTTTCTGCAAGTCAGAAGGAAATAGTCGACACTAAGATAGTGGTGACTTAGTTTTTTCTGGTGTTGTGTGCTAGTAGAGTTTAATGCCATTTGAGGATAGGTTACTTCTTGGAAAGATGACTGGGTTGTGTGAAATACAGTAATTCTTTGTTATACATATCTTTCATGCTTTGGGGAGGGAGGGGAAAAACCCAACAGCTTGCATAGAAACTCATGGCAGCTACTACCTTGAGGCCTTCTGGAGTGATATCTGTTCTTTTGCATTTCCCTCCCTGTGTTAAGTTGGACTTGAAAATTGTAGAGTGCAGTCAGGATGTGTGGGGTGACTCTTAAACTTTTCTAGCGTATCGTGTGGTTTCCAGTCATGGAGTAAATGGTTCAGGTGATAAAAGGTACATTCTTTGTGTGTGATTTTGGAAAATCTCATTGATGAAATAATACCCTTTTGAGTCAACTCAGGATAGTTTGGCTGACAACGTACTTAAAAAGGAAATGCTCACGTGATAACTACAACAGTGGGTTTTTTGGTGTGTTAAGTATATTTTGGTCAGTTCCATAATTCTTAAACCAAATCTGTTGTTTTTCAGGTGGAATCGTTTATCTTGGATCAGGATGATCTAGAAAACCCTATGTTGGAAACAGCTTCGAAATTGCTTTTGTCAAGTACTGCCGATGGTGCTGACCTACGAACAGTAGATCCAGAAACCCAGGCAAGATTAGAAGCTTTACTTGAAGCTGCAGGTAAGTACCTGTGTCCCATAGAGGTTTAACCCCGAAGCCTTTACACGTGAGGCCATACTGGAACTGCTTGCATAAGACTAATCCATATGAGCATGATACAAATGCAGAATGTAAGGCTGTGTGAACTTGGCAGGGTTGTGCAAGTCATTGAAGAGAAAGAAGTTGGTTAAAGCATTTGAAATTTTGGAAAATCAGAGTTTCATATGAAGGCCATGTTTCTAATAATATTCCTCCAACGCTTGGTTTCTAAAAGCCTCAGTAAAAATTGACACCTGACCTTAGCTTGCAGGCATTTGAAATTTTGGAAAATCAGAGTTTCATGTGAAGGCCGTGTTTCTAATATATTCCTCCAACGCTTGATTTCTAAAAGCCTCAGTAAAAATTGACACTTGACCTTAGCTTGCAACCTTAATATTAAAAACTAAAGTGCTCAGTGAGACTTTATTTTGTAGCAATTACTATATGAAAAACTTTGCTAGTTTCTTATGCTTAGTAGTTGTCAATAGTTGAAGAATAATACTTTCTGTGGCTTGAAGGATTTCACTCATCGCATATGAGTGCAGCTTTTAAACGAGTGTTGTCAACAGTTAATCCTTTCATTTTGGAAGCTGTAGTTCATTCTGCTTGGAATGTGTCTGCCAACAGATCTCATAGGCTCAATTTCAACTTCTCTGTTTTCTCCTTTTCCGGCACACGTACCAATTTGCTGTAAATTGGATTGAAAGGAATAGGTAAGCTGTCTACAGCTGATGGTAAAGCATTTGCAGATCCTGAGGTGCTTCGCAGACTGACTTCTTCGGTCAGTTGCGCGTTGGATGAAGCTGCCGCTGCACTTACACGGATGAGAGCAGAAAGCACAGCAAATGCAGGGCAGACGGACAAGTAAGCCCAATTTTATATTGGATTTCATTTTTTTTTTCAGTACTTTGATACTTTTAGAAGCCGTTTGTCTTGTTGTGTCTCCTCTGATTACAGGATGGTGAAACTCTTGTGACATGATTGCTAAATTGTCACCTGTGGTTCTTCTGTTAAATATTCCTGGACTGACAGGTCTTGCAGTGGGGAGTGAAGCAGTTAATACTGCTTAGAATTCAGAAATCATACTCAGAGTCATTTAATTTGATCAACTACAGAAACAAAATTCCGAAACTCTTAAATACAATGAGCCCCCCAAAAAATAGCAAATCCCAAAATGGGTTGTTCAGTGATAGCATGACTAGCTTTAGAACCAGAAAAATCCACCCAGTCTGTTGGTTTAGAGAACTTCAGAGTGCCTTCTTTAATTGAGGAAGGAAAACAGTCTTGAGGGACTGGAGCCTTCATGGCAGTCAGCAGCTTTCTCGTGTCGGGGAGGGAGGACCTTGGACAGAGCTTTGGCCAGAGAGTTGCTGCTTTTTAACTGGACTTTCTGGCTTTGTGGGTTTGTTTTTTTTTTTCTTATTGGGAAAGAAAAAGAAAGGTATCTTCTAGGCTGTCATAAACTGTCAGCATAACAGAAACAGAGCGTTAGTGGGAACAACCAAGTGCTGCTCCACTACTGGCAGTTTGTTCCTTGTATACTGAGTAACTCCAGAGAAACATTTCCTGGTGTGTTGATCAGGACACGTGAAGAAGAGCAGAATAGTTTGGGATTAGGTCTGCTGCTGTTCTCCGTGCCTCCCTCCCTGCCCCCAGCTGCCTATTTCCTTGCCAAAGTTGTTACTGGGGCAGAGAACGTGGGAAATGAAAATAAAGGATGAAAATGCAATGAACAGACATATTTGAGAAATAATTCTCCATGTATTAATGTTGTGTCTGGTAGCACAAATGAAATGGGAGTCCCAAGTACAACATACAGGTATAGCTTAGTCCTTGCTACACAAATACTTGCTTTTACATCTTCAGTAGAGTAAGCATTGCTCATAGTCACATAGTTCTGTGTCTTGCAAAAGTTTTCTGTCAAGCACCTTATTTTTCCATTCCCTTCTAAGTTAGTTCTGTGTTGCTGGGACTTCCTAAATAGAGAAGAGATGGAAAGGCAGTGGGTGGAGTGAGGCCAGTAGTCTTCGGTTTATTGTTATTGATCCAGTTATTTGAAGCAGAGTAGAGAAATATGTCAGACTTGAATTTTTATTCTCACAAAGCAATAACTGTTTTGGAGTGAAGGCAATGTAGACAGAAGACAGAATCAGAGGGATGGATAATAGGGTTCTTGTAGGGCCTTTTTGACTGCAATAGAATTGGAATGATAGAAGTGAAGAACTCGTGGAGTGACAGGAGACCCACAAGTACTCTGATTTAGGGCTTATCAAACCAGGAGAACTTTACACTTTTCTGCTTGGTTGAGTTAGGGCCACAAGGGAAATAACAGATTGCATTACAAAATTCTGGGGTTTTCAGCACAGGGCAGAGGGGAAGTGATTTAATTTTCTTATAGGAGAAAAGCGATGCAAGTGCTTTGTTTTAGTTTAATAGTTACAGTGCTGAACAAAAGTTCAAGTGTTGTGGAGATGGACAGGTGATTTCTCTGTCCTCTGATCTGGGGGCAAAAGAGAAGGTGCAGGCAACTCTTGAGTAATGGTTGCTGTTTGGGAAAGTAATACAGCGTTGGTACTTACTGTGATTTAGTCAGTTCTGCTTTGAACCTTACTTCAGAAAATGAGTGGGACAAAAATCTGTGTTTTCAGATTGGAACTACAGAGCAGGAATAGGCTGGGATGCTATATTCTGTCATAATTAGTGATAGAAACCAACAGTGTTTTGTTTGCAATGCTGTATGATTTAGCCTTTCAAAAGGGAAAGTTACTACTTCTCACATTCTTAAGGGATTACCAGAAAATGCTTTGAACTTCTGTAGGACATAACATGGTGCTGTAGGTATAGTGCTGAGACCGTAAATCAGGCCCGTGGTCATGTCTTCTCTCTGCTTCAGTTGTACATAGTGCAGAATTTGGTGTCCTAAAGGGTCATCCTGCAAATGTTGTAAACTTCTGTTAAAAAATTACTAGCAGGGGGTGGTTCTGTATGCACATAATTTTGGTAAAAGTTCCGTGGAAAACTTGGAAGTGTAAAAAAGACACTTCTTTAATTAGCAGTTGGCACTTTTAAAAATTGTTTTTCTGTCTTTGTTGACTCCATCCTCGTGGCATGGTTGGATTTTTTTACTCTGCAGGTAGAGCAAGCATTTCAAGCATAGCCCATTTTCACTTTTAAATGCTTTCTATCTTCCTAGCCGCAGCTTGGCAGAGGCTTGTTCAGAAGGAGATGTAAACGCTGTGCGGAAGTTGCTAATTGAAGGACGAAGTGTGAACGAGCACACCGAAGAAGGGGAAAGCCTCCTTTGTTTAGCCTGCTCAGCAGGATATTATGAGCTTGCACAGGTTGGTTTCCAAACTGTTTTTAATATGTGTGGATTGTATAAGAATAAGTGTTGAATGAATACATTCCAGTCTTATGCACCTAGAAAGTGATGTTAAGTTAGAGGATGATGCCAGTTAACTGGCAAATGAAGACTTACGTGTAATCTGAACGTTGGTAATGAATTCTTTGGCCTTACTTTCTTTAAGTGTTTCTTAAAAAAAAACCCCCAGAAACCTGTGTATTGGGGGCTTTGTGTAGCATTTCGACCATCTTGACGTGCTGGTTTGTCACTTGCCAGCGTTGTTGATCACCCTTCTGTTGGCAGGTTCTTCTGGCGATGCACGCTAATGTAGAGGACCGTGGTATTAAAGGAGACATAACACCGTTAATGGCTGCTGCTAATGGTGGACACGTCAAAATCGTCAAATTGCTGCTAGCTCATGGTGCTGATGTGAATGCACAGTCATCAACAGGTAAATAAGTGTGTTAGAACTTGTTGAAAACGACTGGAAAGCTGAGATTTGCAGTGTGTGGGCAACTTGGTGTGGGAATTGGAGAGGAATGGCGCTCAGCCAAGCAACGCAGAATGCTTCCTTGTGGTTTTACTATTTAGCTTCTGCTTTTCTTTCTCTTTCTGTAATAAAGCTGTAAAATATGAGTTGGTTTTGGCCATGCAGAGGTGGATAAGGTCACTTAGTAACTGAAAGGCATTTGTGTATGTAGGATTTGTTGTCACATAGTATTTTAAGCACTGTTTAGGAAGTTTGTATGTACATGGAAGATTATTTAGTGTCAAGTCTAGGAATCCAAGGGAAAACAGTAAACCTAAGAAGATTCCCACTCTCCCTTCCCCCCCCCATTTTTCTCATGGTAGTTTAGTAGGCATTTGTGTTGAAGTGAGCAAGTTGAGAAATTTTCTTAGTTTGTGCGTGTGGCCTTGAAGTGGAGAGATTGTGTGTAATCAGCAGTCATTGACACATGGAGTACTGACCCTGAATGATGAAGAAAGTTGGGATATCTGAAGACACTTGGGTTTTTGTTGGGTTTTTTTTTCCCCCTCCTCAGTCAGGTAGGTCTGAGCAGTAATACTGCTTTGACCTTTACCTTTTCCCAAAGTGTCTTTCATAAAGGCAGATTCTTTGACTGTTCTGTTCAGGTATATCTTTTTGTAGTTTTTCCATGGAGATTATTTTTTGTCTCCTTTTAAAGACTATGGGCATTTTTGAACTAGCCCTTTAGAGGTGTTTAAGACTTGATTTAGAAGCAGAAGTTCATTCTGCTCTTTGTTTTGAGCTTCCCTTTTTACAGCATGGTTTGACCCTGCTGACTAGCAGGAAAAGAGATGGATTTTTGTGACAGAAACTAGGATTAGCTGGGTGGAAATGGGAAGAGAAGTGTTTAAGGCCAGGCAGGATGAGGCTTTGAGCAGCCTGGTCTAGTGGAAGGTGTCCCTGCTGATGGCAGGGGGGTTGGAACTGGATGAGCTTTAAGGTCCATTCCAACCCAAACCATTCTATGATTCTTCACTGCGGTCACCAGGCTAATGGAGATCTTCAGTCTGTCAGCACTCAGGTACTTTGTGCAGTTACTTTTTTCCCCCTTTCCTGTAGTTTTTGATCTCTAGCCTGGCAAAAAACCCTATTCTGTAAGATATCCAGGTCAAGGGATGAAATGGAGCATAAGCTGAAGTTCCCAGTGTGTAGAAATGTTATCAAATTCTGTTTTCAAACCTTCTTCTCTTTTGGCTTTAGGCAATACAGCCCTTACGTACGCCTGTGCCGGAGGCTATGTAGATGTTGTGAAAGTCCTTCTGGAATCGGGCGCTAGCATTGAGGACCATAATGAGAATGGTCACACTCCTCTGATGGAAGCAGGAAGCGCCGGCCACGTGGAAGTGGCCAGAGTGCTGCTGGAAAACGGAGCAGGCATCAATACGCATTCCAATGAGTTCAAGGAGAGCGCGCTTACTCTGGCTTGCTACAAAGGTATGGTACCAAATACTGTACTTGTTACAAAGGTGTAAGGAGTGTAGAAAAGCGTGACAGGTATGGAAAGTCTTTCAAACATGTATTTATTCAGCTTTGCTGTCTAGGACAAAATGAATTTAAAGGGTAGAAATAGACACTTTGTTGTATTGCTTTTGTCCTGGCTGGGATACCACATAGCATGTCTGTACCGTATATGAAATGATGAGCAGTGTGGAGAAAGCGAGTATGGCCTTTATGATGGTTCAAAAGACTTTTCTATTCTCTGTTAAATGAGTTATGAGGTGAGGAAATAGCACACTTCATCATAAAGTATGGTAAACTTTCTGTAAGGTGACTATATTTTAAAAGATGCATCTGCTTAGGTTTAAAAATGACTTAAATTTAAAGGACTTGGCACTTGGAAAACATGCAGGATCTAGGGACTTGCCTTTTAGGTGTCAGTGCTTTGGCAAACAACAGGCCTTTCTTGCCTCCTTTAGGGTATTAGGCAGCTATCTTGCATCACCCAAGCAAGGGATGAAGATGCTTAAGAGGCCAGTTGTGTTCACACAGCTGAGAAGTTGGTCTTTAGTCACTTGGGACGTGTTTTATCAGAGCTGTTAGAGTGGCTTCTGGCATCATAGAGTGATTGATGCCAGTAGCAGAGGTACTTCTGTAGCAGCTCAGGAGAAGATGCTCTTAATCTTTCATTTATGTTTTTTTTTAACCTGCCTTGATAAGTTCTTGGTTGGCTGTTGCTGAATGCCTTCATAAGCCGTGGTCATTGTCTTTAGTGGTGGCTGTCAGAGCAAAGGCTGTGTTTGGAAGAGGGGAGTGGGACACTGAAACATTCCCTCCGTAAGAAAATGTGCTTGGGCTCTGAATCCTGAAGGGAGGTTGGAAAACAGGGACGAAAAATTCAAAGTCTGTGCTTAGTTAGTTGTTTACTGTGATATATCGGACAAAATTAAAGTTATTCAGGCTTTTATTTTCTTCACCTTATACATATATGATTTGTCTAGCTTTGTGCTCCATGTTGAGGGTATAAAAATAAGATCCTAATTTTCTCAAGTTGCTTTCTTACTGTAGTTGAATAATATTTGATATTTGTGACCAGGAAGGTCACTAACTTCTCCCAAATAAAGGGGGAAGAGTGAAAAGGCGGTGTAACCTCATGTTGGGCAGTATTTGTGCTATTCAGTGGTGTTGCTAGGTGTAGTTCTAGTTCTCAGGTTTAGCCATGGTCATGTTAAGTTATGAAATGGTGGATTTTTTTTTTATTTGTTTGACTTCTTTGTTTGGTTGGGTTTGTTTGGTTTTATCTGCTTGCTTACTGTGTTGGTCATGACTGCGTAGCGAAGCTGGGTTAATAATAGCTGTGAATTAATGGAGTGGTTGAGAGCAAATTCTTTCAAAAAGCTGTTAGGTGTCCTTATCTTGGGAGGATTCTTAGATGGTTGAATTCCTAAGAGTATGCTTGGAAGTGTGAAGGTCCATCTGCTTCCTATGTTTTATGGTATGAAGGTTGGTGTGAGCTCAGAGTCAAGCAATTGACTCAATTAGAGGGGAAAGCCTGAATTTCACCAAAAAAACCCCCAACGTTCTGTAGATGAAAAAAATCTAAATATCTTTGCACAAAATAAATCACCCTGGTAAAGCTTTTGGAACGTGTATTGCTCAGCTCTAATATCACCTCAAGGAGTGCACGTAGTGCAGACATGAGTTTAGAAACTAAGTGAATTGGGTTGTATTTAAAGGAACTACGCTGTTCAGCTTCTTTGTGTATTGAATGCATAGATTAGGAAAGTGCCTGTCAAGTGTTTAATGGGATTTTTGTTTTATGTTGTAACACAACCTTCTGTTACCTTCATTGCATACATTAGACCCTTTCTATGGCTTGTGAAATGCACTTTCTGGAGTGGTTTTTAATCTGGTAACTATTTTCTTCATACAGGCCACCTAGAAATGGTGAGATTTCTGCTGGAAGCTGGTGCAGACCAGGAACACAAGACAGATGAAATGCATACTGCTCTCATGGAGGCTTGCATGGTAAGAGATGTATGGCTTGAGCAGTGAGGCATGTGTAGTCTTGCTTCACTTCCTGAAGATGAAAAAAGCAATTCCTTTTGGTCTCCTTTTGATACAGAATCTAACTGTGTGATGTTTTGATTCTCCTGTGTACTTGATTTCCCTTTCACAGAAGACATTGGGGATGGGAGGGGGGGGGATACCTGGTTGCAAAACAGTATTTCCTAAAACAGCAAAATTGAGCTTGTTCCTCTGGTGGCTGACAAAGTAGTTGAATTCTTAAGAGACATCAGCTAAAACTTGAATCTTGTGTTAGCAGGAGAGCTCTGTTAACCCATCCTTTGAATAAATAGGTTTCTGTATTTCCAGCTGCACTTTATTTTTTGTTCTGAAGTGGCAGAAATCAGTGAGTAAGGCTGTGCTCATTGTCCCAGAGCTGATTCTGTAGGTTACATCTCCCTCTGTGTTGTTTTATATCACTTGGTCTTTGCTTTTTGCCCTTCTGATAATCATGGAGGCCTGGTTTGAAACAGGTCTTTTTGTGACATCATTTCAGAGAAATAATGACTTCAAGAGTTAGCCAAAAGTAAATAATAATTTATATGAACAGAACCCTTTCTTTCTTTCTTTCTTCTTTCTTTCTTTCTTCTTTCTTTCTTTCTTCTTTCTTTCTTTTTTTCTTTCTTTCTTTCTTTTTTTCTTTCTTTCTTTTTTTCTTTCTTTCTTTTTTTCTGCATGCTTCTGGATAAGCAACTACCAGCTTACAATGGGAAAATCGTTTATACAGGAAACTCCAAATTAAATAACTTGAATTGGAAGATTCCCAGTGGTTGTTGGAATGCTTTTGAAAATTCTAATGTGTGCTAAACATAGGTAGTGAATATGGGCCATAGCCTGGTTATTGGAGACATTTAACATACCTGTGTCATGTTTAAGGAGTTGGTAGGTGAACTTCTCTTTCAGTGTAGGTGGTTGTGTTTAGCTGTGCACGTGCAACTTGTTCCAGTGTGGCTCACATAGCCATGTGTTCCTTGAAAACTCATGAGCAGAAACTGCTTGGGAAGCAACTAAGAAATAGAAAGGAAAATTGTTAACTTTTCACTAATAAAGAGTACTTTCATGTTGCTGCTTTGCCCATCTGAGGCAACTGTAAAATGCCAGTGTAGAATAGATTACTGTTTTGTAAAGTTTAGCAAGGTTCTGTGAAGACTTCTGATGTTTGGATAATAGTTTTTTTTCTGTAGAACACAAATATATAAGAAGCTTTTTCTTTAAAAGCTTATGTATGGGTACATTTTTAATACTGGAATGGTATAATTGATGCTGGACTTGAGATTCATCCAGGCTTTCATAGTGAAGAAAACTTGCTAAATTGGTGTCTTTAGATAGACTTTTTGTTTCAAGTAGTTAGGGTAAGTGTCATATATCTGCTTGTATATTCTTCAAAGCACATATTTTATTTGCAATCTGTTTCCTTCAAATTATCTGAGATAGTAGGATTCAATTGCTTTGACCCTTTCCTTTGGTAGTTCCATTGATGATGGAGTAAACGTGTCCACCATTTATTCCCTTTATTTGTCCTCCTGGAATTGTTTAGACTTTGGTATCCCCTCTCAGAGATGTGAATACAACTGCCATGAGTTCAATAACCCAGCACCATCCCAAGGCTTGGCTGGGGTAAGCTAGCAGGAGGAAAAAATCAGTCAGTTTGTGTCTCTACAACTGAGAATATTTTGAAACTTTTCCTGCTGGAGAAATGAAAGTGAAACAAAATGGAGCAGAATTAGGGTCCATTTTTAGATCCCCACCTAGTTTTCTTTGTGACTCTGAGTTGCAGTAGGCTGTTGGGCGACACTTCAGTTTTCCTCTACTATTTTGGAGACATAGCTGCAGCCTGCTTAGGTAGGTCACTAGTTGATGTCTTATGCTAATTTATTCCATAATCCTTCATCTGAGTATGAAATTTAAATGTAAAACTGAAAACTTGTCTCTTAGGATTCCTTTTTACCTTCCTCTCTAAATAGATTTCTCATGGATTGGATTTTTCATGTCATTAGCCTTGTGTAGTGTCATGTTGTGGATCTGTGGCCATAGAGGAGTGCTGCAACTCGTTATGTAGTCTTCTCTTCCCTGAAATAACTGTGATGATTCTAAAATCAGGCAGTTATGTCTATTCGAGAAACTTAATGGCTTCAGATAGGGAAATCATTCACAGAAACCATTAAACTTCTGAAGAAGTGGTTAAAAAGAAAGGCATAGAGATAAACAGGGCTTCAACTATTATTTATCTCACTCTAAAATCTCAATAAATTAGGCATATAACTATCATGGGCGCTGTCCTTGCAGCAAGTTCCCTGGAAGGTGACGATACAATTATCTTGTTTGATGTTGCAGTAGCTTTCTCAGCAGAATGGCTTCTTGACATATCAGAAGTTTGCAGAGAAAGCTACCATTTCACGGAGCCGTGGAGCCAGCCTTCTTTTCCTTGCCACCCTCTTCACCGCCTTTTCCTTCCACCGACAGACTAACAGACGTCCTTAGGACTCGCAGAAAATTTTTATTGAGACTTAGTGAGCGATAGTGGTGGGGGAAGAAAAAAACTCTCCCTTATTTCTGTAGGAAACTGTTCCTCAGTAGGCATTTCCATGCTGCTGCTCATAACTCACAGATAGTCGAGAGTCGCAGTACCTTCAGCTTTGCTTAAGAGAGGGAGCAGCTTTCTACAGCAGTATAGAAAAATACTGCTGTATTTTTAAATACTGCTGTAAATACATTTAGGTTGCTCAAGGAAGTTGTAGGTGCTCCCTCCCTGGAAGTGTCCAAGGCCAGGCTGGATGAGGCTTTGAGCAACCTGGTCGAGTGGAAGGTGTCCCTGCTGATGGCAGGGGGGTTGGAACTGGATGATCTTTAAGGTCCCTTCCAACCCAAACCATTCTGTGATTCTATGGAAAAGGTTGCAGTCTGAAATAAAGCAGTGCAGGAGCTTCTCATCTCTGCATGTTTTTTTGCAGAAATGGTTGTCACTCTTCAGTAGCAGAAGAAACCTACCTTCTCCAGAATGGTATTGAACTGGAATGTATGTTACTGAATTGTTTATATGTGGCACAGCACTTGCATACAACCCAGTGAGACTGTTTAAAACTTGTCCTGCAAGGCATTCGGGAAGACTTCTGACCGAGAGCTTTTTTCTAGACAGCAGTTAACATTGGTTTAATGCAGAGGAGTTGTTGGGCAATGTGATTTGCCTTGTGGGAGCAGAAGGCAGGTTTGTCTAGTTTGCACTTCCTCTTACTGACGTAACTTCATCTTCCACAGTGAGTACTGATTGCCCACAGTGGGTGATCTATAAGATCCATGTGGTGCGCTTGTGCACGTTGGTCAGACGACTTTTTGTGATCTAATAGCAGTTACAAGGCTTTTTCTAGCTGTTGTAGAGGAGCTGAACAGCACCAGCCCACTGCAAGGTTTGTTAAAGCACAGAAACAATGTCCCTTTGTGGTTAAACACCAGCAGTTATTCTCAGCACTGCCTGGCCCATAAGAAGCTTTGCAGCATACCTTTATGCTGCTCTTTGCCATACTTGTGGTGAATCAGGGATGATTAGTGAGCTGTCTTGCCAGAGCCTGATGGTTGAGGCACCGTCTCTGCTTTTCCCTAAGGAAAGATTCTTTATGGAGTCTTGGAGTTTTTCCCTAAAATAGTGTTGTCATTTCGTGTAAAAGGCGAGTATGTCCTAGTTAATGTCCTAGATATTTTTCCGAGAGGAAATTGTGTATTGCTCCCTGGGTATCAGAAAAAGGTATAAAATGGGTAAGAAAATGAAGCATTAAAATGTCAGATAGTTTGGTATTTTGTCTGGAAAAGAGTTTTTTGGGGTTGTGATTCGTAGCTTGGTGAGGGTGGCAATGGCTGCGATTTGCTACCTCTTATTAGTTAATCGGAGATCAAGGTGTACTTACCTTGTTGAGTGACAACCTTGGGTTAGCCTTAGAGCCTTGCATTCCTGGTAAGCTGCTGCTTTTTCTAGGCAACCCCCCCGTGTTTTGTATCAGCCCTTTTCCCATTCTGGTTACTGCAAGTTGGGCTGATGGCAATTTCCTCATGGAGAAAACCAGCTTGGAGAGTTTGTGCTGCTGTTGGACTGCGGGGACCGAGCTGGTCTCTGCTTCTGTCTGAAGAAAAGTAGAATTGAGTGGCATGTGAATATGTCACTTTCAGGCCTCCAGTGTAAACATACAGCTGAAAAGCCACTTGAAATAGTTCCTGAATTTACGGCATGCTACAAACATGATGAAAATCATATGCTCAAATATTTTCTTTGTTTCTAAAGGAAGAAAGCAAAATTAGGAGCTACTTGTTTCGGTAAAACAAGTTTGACAGCATGATAATGGTATATGGAACGTCCTGCCATGATCCTGCTAAAGGAAGGCTGTACTTCAGGTGGTTCCTGTGATGTATGAGGAACAAATGGTCTTGTTTTGGCTTTTGTCTTGGAGGGAGAAAGTCAGATGAGCAGTGTCATTGTGCATGGCTTCTTTGTAAGAACAGAAGGAAGCAAAATTGTTCAATTTAAGTTCTGTCCTCTCTTCTGTCTCCCTCCCCAGAAGCTGAGAGTCTGTAATGTGAATACTCAGAGACACTAACAGTCTGTATGGACTTGAGGACAAACTGTATTCCTGTCATGCGTTGGTTTTGTAAATAAATACAACGTGTTTAATAAATAAAGGAACTGCATGTTGAATTTAAAACAAAATTCCATCTCTTTGACAAAGTAGAAAGCATTGGCATTGAGTGACTTGTTGCACTGTAAAGGTTTTATAGTCTTTAGGAAGAGCATCAAAACCTGTTCTTACATCCAAGAGATGATCTGAACTGAAATTCTCTTAATACTCCTATTCACTAGACTGTTTTTGTTGTTAGGAGTAAATTTGTTGTCAGAATGCAAGAAGAAATACGTTTGTGTGGTAACTTATTTCTTAGAATTTGTGCTTTTAGATAATTCCACACATATGATTCTATTTCTACAGTCTTTAACAAAGGGACTACTGGGTATTAGAGCTCTGGTGCTGGTATTGTTCTTGTGGAGGAGGCAAGCTTCTAAAATAGTGTCAAGCTCCTTCTCAACTGTTTGGGTTTTGTTTCCTCCCTCCCTCCTCAGCTAAGCTTATCCCAAACATTTGAACTTGAGTTTGATGTGAAGTTGAACAGCTTGTTACTTACACCATCGGTGGTAAAGTTTGATATGTGGCTCATGATATTTTGGTTTCGAATTGAACATATTTGCTAAAATGTGCTTGAAGTTTCTTCAGTTGCCTCTTTAATAGTAGATCTTTATCCAAATACTTAGCAAAAATATTTAGGAAAATTGTTAACAAATGTCATTGTATTTTTGGACTTCTTTACTCACTGGTTGCTTTCCATGTCTTCTGAGTTAATTTGAGTTGGTGACTACTTAAAGCTTTGGAGAAGAGGGGCAGTTTTACTATTTTGACTGTCTTTTGATCTTGGTTTTTTGAATTCCTAGGATGGCCATGTGGAAGTGGCAAGATTACTTCTTGACAGTGGAGCTCAGGTGAACATGCCTGCTGACTCTTTCGAGTCTCCATTGACTTTGGCAGCCTGTGGCGGGCACGTCGAACTGGCAGCTTTGTTAATTGAACGTGGAGCTAACTTGGAAGAGGTGAATGATGAGGGATACACACCACTAATGGAAGCAGCTAGAGAAGGCCATGAAGAGATGGTGGCACTGTTACTTGGTCAAGGTAATTACTGTAGTGCCTTCTGTGGACTATAATTCAGTAGGTATCTGTGTATGTTAGAGGTAGAGGGGGAAAAAGGTAAGTTAATATAATTTTTGTTTCCTTCTTCAACAACTTCTGAACTCCACCCTGCTACTTTTTGAGCAGTTGTTGAGTTTGGTGGGGTTTTGGGTTGGTTTTTTTTAGCAAATATCCTTAGCTCTGCTCATTTACTTTGTAAGTGGTCATTCTGAATTGTTCTTCAGAACAGGTTTGCATTTTTCAGACAGACATCGAAGAATGAGCAACCAGGTAACATGGGTAACTTATATTCTGCGCGATGGCCTTGGACTATCTTGAGATGGTGTTATTGCTGAAAAGCTGTAGAGAAGTGTTTGAGGTCCTCAGAAGAGTTTCTAAAGTATTTAAATAAAGTTGAAGTCTTTTAGTATGATCCACTACGATTTTAGAAGAGAATTTCTGCAGCTCTGGAAATGATATATGTAATAAGATGCCACATGCATCAGGAAGTGGCTTTGCTCATACTGGTTTCAGGAACTAGTGTTTTTTGATGTAAGTGTGGTTCTGGTGTTTTGTGTTGTTTTTAGGAGCGAACATCAATGCTCAAACAGAGGAGACGCAAGAAACCGCATTAACTCTGGCTTGCTGTGGAGGTTTTTTGGAGGTTGCTGATTTTCTTATTAAAGCAGGAGCTGACATAGAACTTGGTTGTTCTACACCTTTGATGGAGGCTGCTCAAGAGGGTCATTTGGAGCTGGTTAAATATTTATTAGCTGCAGGTATGGAGTAATTTGCTATCAGTTTTGTAGAGATTTTATGTAACCTTAAGAGAAGAAGATCTTTTTCCGTATTCTTGACATTTTCATTAGCAACTTCTTGAAGTTGAGTGCAAAGGTTTGTAGAACCTTAAGTAATTTAGTAGTTGGATCTTAATTTACCTTTTGAGGATTAAGTTGATGTATACTCATGTGATAGTTTAACCAGCCTAAGCTTAGTTTAACTAACTAAGCAAAAACCAGGACAACTTGCTTGGACTTGAACTTCTAGTTTGTTTATTTTTTTTAAATTCATCTAGAGTATCATTAAGTTGTCAGTTTCACAGATGTTGCTTTAGAAAGGGCAAGTTTAAAATTAGCTACCTGATCTGGTAAAGATGATGAAGAATATGCATATTTTCTGTACTGAACTTCACAAAGCTTACACGCTCGTTACTATTGCTTCAGGGGCTAATGTGCACGCAACAACGGCAACAGGTGACACGGCACTGACATATGCCTGTGAAAATGGCCATACTGATGTAGCAGATGTCTTACTTCAGGCAGGTGCAGATCTGGTAAGTCATTACCTTCTTAAAATTGTAATTAGGAAATCAAATTGTACATGTGTATTTATTGATGACCTTTTTTGATCCCGTGTTCGTTGCTGAAAACTTAACCGAGTTTGCTGTTAGTTGTAGTAGTTGTATTCAAATTATCTTTGAACCTTTTTCTTTTAACTAAGTGAGACTTGGCGATGTTTTGCTCATGGATTTTAGGCTGTTTAATTACCTGGAAGTGCTTAGGTCAGTTACAGTACTTTGGTGATTGATGTCTAAAGCGTTTTCCAAGCCATTCAAGGTTTCTTATACAGAAAAATAGAGGATTTTGTTCTTTTGTCATGTGCAGTCCTGAATGGTATTCAGCTTTCAGTTATTGAGCTGATTATGGGTTAATACTTGTACGTGCAAAACTGTGCTAATCCTTACGCAGCAAACAGTTGATAGTTCTGTTCTGATGTGATCTATTTGGTGTACCGTAATGGAATTAAGATGACAAAGGTAAATTGATTTTACATTTCAGTAGGCTTGTACACCAGTACGTTAGCAAAAAGTGAAGTTAAGCATGACAGAACACATTCTGTTTAACTAAAATCCCCACCATGTGCTTGAATGCTTCTTGTCCAGGAGTCTCAGACCTGTACAGAGGTAGGTAGATAGCTTCACCTGTCTGCAAGATGCTCAAATATTAGGTAAATTTTTACCTATGTAGTTAGTAGAACAGTAAAAAGGGATCTTACATGTCTGGTGTCTTTCCGTTCAAAAAAACCCAAAAGGCTGAATTGCATCCTTTCACATGTGCTACTTCTGAATTTTGAATTTTAAATATTTCTTTATCTGCTCTAGGAGCATGAATCAGAAGGTGGAAGAACTCCTCTCATGAAAGCTGCAAGAGCAGGTCACGTTTGCACTGTTCAGTTCTTGATTAGCAAAGGTAAGAGTGTGAAAAGGCTTTAGTTTTCCTGCTGTTACTTGAAGTTAAGAGCTTGTTAGTACTAGTGTAACTTCCTTGGATTTGATTTAAATATTTTAACTCGTGTGGATCACTGATTCTCAAACTAGGCAGGTAATGATGACCTCTGGTTTCTGGTGAGGTTAGTGGGAACTCCAACGACTTCTAAAAATTGTTACATTCCGGTCTATAATTCCTAGTAAAAGCAGCAACAGTATTAGTGGTAACTGGATGTCTCCATGATCCCAGTGCAGCTTTTGTGCACTCTTCTTTTCAGAGGTTTAACTTCAAGTGCCTGTTTGTTTCAGAGTTTTGACTGTAACTTGCTCGGTGTTGTCAGGACTGTCGGATCCAGCCTCAAATCACTGTTGAATGCATAGAGTTGATACAGAGCTCGGAATGGCTGTTTTCTCTCTCTCGAGCTGATACTGATGATTTTTTCTTGTACCTTTCTTGTATGGAGTAGGACTGACCTAAAGTTTCCAGTGTGATGTAATTTTTCCTGTGTAGATTGCAGAGGAAAGAAGCAGAGTTGCAATTAATCATCTGCTTGCTGGTGCTAAGATGCATGGATCTATGTGTGGGATTTTAGCGTTGGGTTTTGTAGGGGTTTGTTTGTTTGTTTTTTGTTATAATTGCTGGCAAATTTAAAAGCAGTAGGTTTACCTGCTATGTGATGTTTCATATTTAGAATGTAACCATTTGAACAGTGAGTTTGGAGTGCTAGTCCAGATAAAGTTGCCTTTTTTTTTGGTGGCATGTGACATGTTAAATGATCTCCCGATGACAGTAATAATTGACCAATATAATTTATCAGTTTTAAGACTGCAGCCATGGAGTACTATGCTTACATATTTAAGAAAAAAAGTTAACTTTCTGTCACTTTTGGTAGAACTGGTTTAAGTCTTTTAAAATCATCTTTCCCCCTCTATTTTTGAAGGTGCAAATGTGAATAGGACCACAGCTAACAACGATCATACAGTATTGTCGCTGGCCTGTGCTGGGGGTCATTTGGCAGTTGTGGAGTTACTGCTAGCTCATGGTGCTGATCCTACACACAGATTGAAGGTTGGTTGCTCAACTACTTTATTTTCCTCTGGTGTAGTCTTTAATTAATCTTAAAACTAGCGATACCCAAGTGAATTTGCTCCTTTGGTACTCTGCAGCTGACCCAATGTGTCATGATTTAAATGGAAGATGCAAGAGCTGGTGTTTCCACAAGCAGGCATTATGCTCATGAACGGATTTATAGAACTTGGAGTTAGAAGGAGTGCAGGTTTTTTGATTACTCTGAATGTAAAGGCTGCACTCCAGTTGTCAAGTCATAATTGTGGAAGAGGAAGGAAAATTTTTAAAAGTACTAGGTTTTTTGCAAATACAATAGAGTCCTTAAGTTTAGATGTGGACTCACTGCGGATTGAATGAATATTTATTAAAGCAGCCTTAATAGATACTGTGTCATGTCTCCTAGAATGCTTCAGTGTTGTCGTGTTTTCTTGATGGTGTTTTCTAATACCATGATCTTTCCCTCTTTAGGATGGATCAACTATGTTAATAGAGGCAGCAAAAGGTGGTCATACCAGTGTGGTTTGTTACCTTCTAGATTACCCAAACAACTTGCTTTCTGCTCCTCCACCTGATGCTACTCAGCTAACCCCACCATCCCATGATTTAAATAGGGTAAGATTTAAGGGCTTGGTTATCTGTTGATTTGTGGGGCCTTTTTTTTTTTTTTTTTGCATTTCTTCTTGCAGCTTACTGAAGAGTTTAGAGATGAGAGAAGAGTCAGTCATGAAATATCATAAATTACTGAACTGTAGCTGAACACATTGAAAATTACATCGAGCTGTTGTGAAAACTGACTCGGAGCACTCAAAATAGGCTTTTTGAGCATCAGTGTGTAGTGCTGTCAGCGTGCTGCTTAGTGCTCTGTAAATACTATTGGGAAAAAGATGAGGGAGCGGGGGGGGGGGAAGGCAAGTGAAAAGGTCTGCTTTAATGAGGCTCTTCAGAATTATATTTGTAGCCCATTGTGACTTGTATTTGCTTTACCATACTATATCACTCCACCATGCTGAGATGAGTATTGCTTGTCAAGTCGTTTCTTAGGTTAAAAATGCAAAGTATATAGAAGACAGATGATCTCAAATTGTTAACTGTTGAACTTAGCATATTAAAAAAAAAAAAAAACACAACAAAAAAAACCAACCAAAAAAAAAAGGTTTTAAATGTTATTAGTCACCATTAAAGTCTGCTTTTCTAACAGGTTTTGTTTACCTTCTATTGAATTATAACTAGATTAGAGTATGAGAAAAGTAATCTGTTAGTATCCAACGTTTTAGGCTCCTCGTGTACCAGTGCAGGCGCTGCCCATGGTCGTCCCACCCCAGGAGCCTGACAAACCCCCTGCTAATGTCGCCACAACCCTTCCCATCAGAAATAAAGGTCAGTCTTAGTTCTGGAGCTGATTTTTCTAAATATCCTTCCTAGGTAGAAGATAGAGGGTTGCACTTCTAGCAGAGTAGTTCCTATGACGAATGTTTATGGATTCAGTCAAGGAAACGGCAATTTTTTTTATTTTTAAGGATTTGCTTATCCACCAAATACGAAGTATCAGTCATCTAACCCTGTAATCATAAAGCGTCAAGAAATCTGCCTAAGTAAATATGTTAAAATATATATTAGTCTGACATACTGGACTAATGCAAAATGTCATCCAGAAGCCTATATAAATTTGATAATGGAAGTCATAAAAACCATGCTAATCTCTATACTGTAGTTGATTTAATAACTTGTGTTTATTTAGGATAGTAGTCTCGGAGTGGATTTGACTAATTTGACTGAAGGCGGAATTTCTTGTGCTATAAAACATTTAGTCTGATGTGGCTCAGGTCCTCCTAGGACTAAATTTGCATCTATTTTGATATCGCCAGTTTGACACTTAACGCTTTCTGTGCTTAAGAATTCTCTTCCCAAACAATTTTTATCAAGGATCAGCAATAGTGCAAATACAGGCGTGCATGTCATAAAATTAATACTGTGTGTACACTTGTATTGTTCTGGAAATACAGCGAGGATGACTGGAAGAAACTGGGCACCTCCACTGACTCAGATCTTGAGTTTTGATTTGCCTTTCGCCCTTCAAAATTAACTGATTGTTCCTTCTCCAACTGCTATGGCAGATCATGTCAGCTGTGTTACTGTGGACTTCTTCATAAAAGATGAATTGGATTAGTCCATCGCTCATTCTTACAGGAAGGCTGAAATATTTGCCTTGCCTGGGCAGAGAGAGCTGAGTTTTGACACAGACAAAATCATGTCTGCTATGGATAAAATGTAGTGGCTAAACATACCCTGTTAGATCACGTTAAATATAAATAACTATCCTGGGTTCTAGCGCTGTTTGTCAACTGAGCAAAGCTGGATACCTGTAGTGAAAGGATTCAGTAGTCCTAGGAAACGTAGCGCTACCTAAAACGTACCGAGTTACACACAAAACCGGTGGCCTAGAACAAGTCACTTGTCCCTCGAGATGTTTTTGCATCACTTTTTGCTGTGCTTTCAGAGCTGTAACCATACGTTTATGTCTTTAACACGACACCAGGCGCAAAACGTCAAGTTAAGAGACAGCATATCCTTTCCTTTTGTTGCCATTTATCTCGTAGCACCACTTGATAACAGCGGCTCTTTGAGACGATCGCTTCCATTTGGCAAAAGTATAACCATGGTTGGAGTAAATGTGACAACGTAGCGCAGGGATATTTGGAATGTATGCGCAGTAATCTGTTAAATTGCAATCTGACTGCTGTGTTAAAACTGCTAGTGAAAAGATTCAGTGTTCTTTTGAGGGCCTTTAGAGTACACGCGGATCTTCTGCGGGTACCGTGTCTTGGTGCATAACTGGCCGTTTAGCATCCCAGCAGTAGCTCTATAATGAGGATGCCATTCATATGCACTTCCATTGGTTCTGAGGGGGTTTCTTTTTCACACAGCTGCTTCTAAACAAAAGTCCAGCAGTCATTTGCCAGCAAACAACCAGGATGTACAGGGTTACATCACCAATCAGTCTCCAGAGAGCATTGTAGAAGAGGCTCAGGGCAAGTTGACAGAGCTGGAGCAGAGGATAAAAGAAGCCATAGAGAAGAATGCTCAGCTGCAGTCCCTGGAATTGGCACACGCTGACCAGCTCACCAAAGAGAAGATTGAGGAGTTGAACAAAACGAGAGAGGAACAAATTCAGAAGAAACAAAAGATTTTGGAGGAACTGCAGAAAGTGGAGCGAGAGTTACAGCTGAAAACTCAGCAGCAGCTAAAAAAGCAATATCTAGAGGTAAAAGCGCAAAGAATTCAGCTCCAGCAGCAGCAGCAACAACAGTCTTGCCAGCATCTGGGACTACTGACTCCTGTTGGGGTAGGAGAACAACTCTCAGAGGGAGACTATGCACGATTACAGCAAGTGGACCCCATCTTGCTTAAAGATGATCCTCAGCAAGCTGCTGCGCAGACGGGTTTTGCACCAATTCAGCCTCTGGCGATGCCACAAGCTTTGCCTCTGGCAGCAGGTTCCTTACCTCCAGGGTCCATCGCAAATCTTACAGAACTGCAAGGTGTTATAGTTGGACAGCCAGTATTGGGCCAAGCACAACTAGCAGGGCTGGGGCAAGGAATACTGACAGAAACACAGCAAGGGTTAATGGTAGCCAGCCCTGCTCAGACGCTCAATGACACGCTGGATGACATCATGGCAGGTGGGTTTATATTGTTATGAGCAGGTATAATATTTGCTTGACCAGTTGAGGGTATGTCCACTTCTTTATGTGTGTATGTGTGTGTTTGTGTATTCCCGCTAGCTCTACAGCAAGTACCTCTAAGCCTACTGATCCGTGTCTTGAGGAGCTCAGAAAACTAGTTCTAACTTTTCAATTCCGCAGGGTTGCCTTTCCTTTTTGTTGTGCTAACTGGTTTGTCAGGTTGGTATGTCAGAAGTGGTGTTCTTAACTCTTCATAGTTTGGAGGAGGGAGTGGGAGGGATATGCTAGGGTCTAACAGTTCTATTTCGACCTGTTTGTAGCTCAGAAACAACATCTTGATGATACTTTGGATTAGCTGAGAACTGATTTGGAGCACTCAGAATAGGCTTGGAGCAACTATAGCCCTGCATCAAGCCTATAATGTGTAAGGAACCTGTAGGCTTGTCTTTTGAACAAGAGCTGCTCTAGTTGGCCTTGAATAGTCTACCTATTGGAAGCTTTTACTTCTGTTTGGAAAAATCTTATGACTCTTGAAAATGCCTACTCATAAAATGGCTGCTTTGCCATGAAAGACAAATTTAGCAGTACCAAATTCCTCTTAATAACTTTGGAGAAATCTTTCCCCAGTGACATTAGTGCTTTAAGGCCTGAAGTAGTAAAATAAAAGAATGAAAAAGGTTTTAAATACCATAGAAAATGTGGGTTGTTAGCTTTGCTTTCCTTGGCATCTGCTTCACTTGCATGTAATCCCCTTTCCTCATTTTGACTACCTAGCTGAATAACAGATAAGCTGGTAAGAGATAGTAATTAAAATATGATGTCACTCGATGAGAATTTGCTGAGGTGCTCTTGGTTAAGCTGATGAAATTTCATTTTTAAAAGTGTTGTCTATTTTGATAAGTCTACTTGGTAAAGCGTGTTAGGATGAGGGGCATGTGCCAGAGGAAAGGAAGGTCTCCAGAGGTGTGGAGCTGGTCCTGCATATACTACAAGAGTTATTGGGAGTACAGTAATGGTGCAGAGTAAATAGAAGGTATGGTAATGGTTAAAAATAGCACGTGGTGATTGTTTAAAATATTTGGAACAACACTTTTGAGGTTTGGCACCTAATGAGTAACCTGACGTTCAGGCAAAGCCTCATTAGAGATGACTGAAACTTCTGGGAGCTGCAGAGATTCTTTTTGGAAAAATCTGGTGTTGGAATTGAAGCCTGCACATACAGATTGGAAGTTGACAGTGGATAAGAAACAAACTGGATGTATGAAAACGTAGATAAAACACATCCATCATGCATTGATAGTGAAGATTTTTCTCAGGTGGAGCTGCTGGGATACATAACAATACCACCTACTCGATTGAAGGCATGGGATAATTATGAATTCATGCTTACTTAGGAAGAATCTGTGCAATGCACTTCAATTACATTTAAATATAACTTAAACTTTAAGTTAGGGCATTTGTTATGTGTTTAGCTGCATATAACATCTTGAAAACCTGTAATTTTAGGTCATCTATCATGTACCCAAATGCTCACGCATGCCTTTTTGGAAAGGTCAGGTATTTCTAATGTGCTTTTGAGTGAATATTTTTGTACACATAGTCTTAGTTCTTAGTATGTGCATGCACACATGCAACTGGCAATGAAGTCTAAATTCATAGAATCATAGAATGGTTTGGGTTGGAAGGGACATTTTGAGGCCATCCAGTCCAACCCCCCTGCAGTGAGCAGGGACATCTTCAACCAGATCAGGTTGCTCAGAGCCCCGTCCAACCTGACTTTGAATGTTTCCAGGGATGGGGCTTCTACCACCTCTCTAGGTAACCTGCTCCAGTGTTTCACCACCCTCATTGTAAAAAATTTCTTCCTTATCTCTAGTCTGAATCTCCCCTCTTTTAGTTTAAAGCCATCACCCCTTGTCCTGTCACTACAGGCCCTGCTAAAAAGTCTGTCCCCATCTTTCTTAGAGGCCCCCTTCAAGTACTGAAAGGTAACAATAAGGTCTTCCCGGAGCCTTCTCTTCTCCAGGCTGAACAGCCCCAACTCTCTCAGCCTGTCCTCACAGCAGAGCTGTGCCATCCCTCTGATCATTTTTTGTGGCCTTCTCTGGACCCTCTCCAAGAGGTTCATGTCATTTCTGTGCTGAAGTCCTCAGAGCGGAACACAGCACTGCAGGTGGGGTTTCAGGAGAGCAAAGCAGAGAGGCAGAATCCCCTCCCTCGACCTGCTGCCCACGCTGCTTCGGGTGCAGCACAGGATACAGGGTTGGTTAGCTGCGGTGTGAGTACATATTGCTGGCTCATGTCTTATCGCTAAAGACCCTGCTAAAAGGTTTTTCCCCATCTTTCTTATAGGCCCCCTTCAAGTATTGAAGGGTCACAATAAGGTCTTTCCAAAGCCTTCTCTTCTCCAGGCTGAACAACCCCAACTCTCTCAGCTTTTCTTCATAAAAGAGGTGTTCCATCCTTCTGACCATTTTTTTGTCCCTCCTCTGGAGCTTCTCCAACAGGTCCATGTCTTTCCTGTGATGAGGACTCCAGAGCTGGATGCAGTACTGCAGGTGGGGTCTCACCAGAGTGAAGTAGAGGGGCAGAATCACCTCCATCAACCTGCTGACCATATTTCTTTTTATGAATCCCAGGATATCGTTGGCCTTCTGGGCTGGGAGCACATATTGCTGGCTCATGTCCAGCTTTTCATCCCCTAGTACCCCCAAGTTGTTCTCAGTGAGGCTGCTCTCAACCCCTTTATCCCCCAGCACATTGTCATCTGGAAGGCATTTGTGGCAAGTCTGTTAAAAGCTCCATCTTTGAAGCTTTCTGTCTTTGTTTTTCTGTGAAGTGGCTAGTTTTAGTTTGAGGGGGTTTGGTTTTGGGGTGGTTTTTTTTGTTTTATTTTGTTTTGGGGTTGGTTTTTGTTTGTTTGTTTGGGTTTTTTTAAGAAGGAACAGACATAGACCTGAGTATACAACTTTAGTGCCAGCTCAAAGCCACACATCAGAATTTAGTGTGAAGGTGAAATGGCTCAACATGACACAAAACATTTAAGCAGCAGCTAAATACAGCATGAGTAGCTTTGTGTATTGCTTTAACAGGAACCCTCTAGAGTATTTCCCATGGGTTTAAATCTCTGTTCCTGAGATGACTTGAGTTCAGTTCCATCACGGAGCTGTGGCTTGCAGCACCAGTTACAAAAACAAAGCTTTAACCTTGATGGTGCAGGCTTTTATCTAATGTCCATCTCTGTGCTTAATTAGTTGCAAACAGTGAGTTTAATTTTACCATTTTAAGTAGTTGTTTGAAACAAGGCCAGGTGTGCAAATGCTGGTATTTGTCAGAGGAGAGTACAAGTCAAGTATTGCTGTAGAGGTCAAGTGTTATTGCTAGATCAGCTCTGGAACTTCAAAGTAGGATTCCTTGTTCTTGGAGAAGTTAATTGGAGCTCTACACAATTTGCCTGGAAACACAGTGAAATAATATACCAAGTTAAGGAGTTTGGGGTTTTTTTTTAAAGAAAGAAGTAGAATAAGTTGAAAAAGTAGTAAATAATCTTCCCGTTTCAACTTTGGGCTCCTTTCTGATCCTGCTTGAATTGATGACAAGCAAAAGGTTCGCTCTTTAGCTTCAGATGTTGGACAAGATCTTTGCTCGCTGTAAGGCTGGTGAATAGAAGTATTTTTTAGGGTTAGTCATATGATATAAAGAAAAAAAGAAACCAACCCTGTTTCTAATAGCTATGCTTTTGTGAAGTAGTAACTCTTCAAAAGATTATGTCCAGTAACACATCCTCACAAAGAATTTCAGGAATCTTGCTGCACTTGATAAGATTAATTCCTAGAAGTTGCCTTGTGGGATGAGTCAATTTGAACTATAACTGTCCAAATAAATACATAAGAAAGAATATACATTGGCTATAAGTCCTTCACAGAAACTCAATACTGAAAAAAAAATAACTGTAGAGTGCCAGCATCACAGAGAAATGGGGTTCTGTCCCACTTGCCACCCGCGTAGGAGCTGCAGAAAACTGAGGGTGCAAGCTTTTACACACTGGTGTAACTACAACAGGTTGTTGGCAATGGTTACACTGTTCATGCAAATGCACAATAAATGCATTTAGACCTTTGTCCTTGGAATATTGAGAGACTTCTTCCATCTATTGCTAGGCAGCTGGTTTTGTGTGGGACTGAGCCTGTGACAGTCCACCTTTCAGACTGTAACTAATAAACATCAAGACTTAGAGGTGTGGTGTGGTTTTCAGGCTGTTAGCGCATAGAAGCGACGCTGTGTGTTTGTATTTGAATTCAGAACATAACTCTGACTCTTGTAATTCAAGGCATGTTATGCATCTGAAGTGTTCTGTGTTGGTTTTAAGCATGTGTGGCAGGAACACAGCTTTTAATAACTTTAGATACTACACAGAAATTGTGAGCAGAGGAGAAGAAACTGATGGGGAACAAGCCTGTTGAGTTGGCTTGAAACAAGTTGGAAAAAGCTGACGTATCTAATATATTTTTTGTAATGTACTTTTTTTTTCCAGTCCCTCGTCTTGACTTATTGCTAAGTAATGTGAAACAGTTCTATTATATATCTACTGTTGACATTACAGGAGATCAGGAATAAATGCATAGGAAAAATGCTGTGCCCACAGTCAGACAGCACTAGTAAGAAACTTAATGGTCAACATAAAGATGAAATGGGATTATAAAGGTGCTTGGTTTCTGTAACATCTTGAGCTTCAGGAAAATACAAAGTATTCAAAGAAGCAGCAGACATGAATAGTGCTAACAACCCCATGTTTCTTTTCAAGATGTCAGGCTTCTTTCCAGACACACATTTTGATTTTAGGACGTGTAGATCAGTGAGGGGGTTTTTTTTGGTGGGGGGGGAATCCTGTTGGCTCAGATGTTAAGTACTTTGTGTTAATTTTCAGGTTTTTTAATTTGGTAGCTCGGCCGTTTTCTTTCCTCCCCTCATACTGGGGCTGCATTTGTGAGCCAAAT